TTTGATTTAAGGGCCTCTTAGCGTTGCCTTTGCTAAGAAATCTTACACTTGGTTATTCTCAAAACTACAGCATAAATCCCAGAGATCTCCGCAGAAATCTGAAAAATACACAAAAACCATCGACAATTCCATTTTTAGCAGTCAGAACCCAGACTCGGTGTTTACCTACTTCCTAAAAGGACGTGCCTATTCCTCTTGCTTTCAACCGTGTGCAGGGAAGGAGACACCCGCTGCCCCCTGCCAGGGCTCCTGCTCTCAAGACCTTTACTCTCGGCTGCCAATCATCCACCCATCCATCCATGGATCCACCTATCCATTCAGGCATCCTGCCAATCATTGCTCCTTGAGCTCCGAAAACTATTCCTAACCAGTGCTCTGCTTACAACCCTTCGAAGACCACCCGATGCCTGCTTCTTTAGCGCTCTAGACTCACTCCACCTAAAACTTTCTTTCCCGCTACTGCCCACAAAAATGTCTGCTCTCTCCCATTCCTCTCCTTCTGTGAAGCCATGTGTTCAAGCCCACCCCTGCACCTTCGCGGATGACAGTGATTCTCCACCTTGTTTATTCCCTCAGAGCAGCTGAGAGCTGCCGGCACCTTCCAGCTGATACTCAAGGCTGCCACAAGCACCTGCGTTCTACACAGGTCTGAGCACCGTGTGTTATAGTTTTATTTGGTTCATGTATTTATTATAATTATGTCCTGGCAGATAGCAGTAAAGTGGCTGAAGGAAAAAGTGACTTTTGCTCATTTGCATGCAACCAAGCAGAGACCATTTTTCTCCTCTTAATGCAGCATTTTAAGTCTTTCTGCAGAAAATAATTAAAGGATTGTTAAAGAATACTTGGCAAAAATCCTCTAGAAAAGACTGGCGAACTGAATTTAAGAACATATTATAAAGATCACATGTCATAAACAAGATGGATTCATTTCAGGAATATAAAGATGGTTCAACATACACAAGTCAATACATAAAATAGCACATAAAATAGAATCATCTCCATAGATGTAGAAAAGGCCTGCCACTTAAGTTCAGCATCCCTTCACAATAAAAGCCCTCAAGAAACTAGGAACAAAAGGAACGTACCCCAATACAATTACAGTTATACATAACAAAGCTATAGCCAATATTACTAGCTGAGGAAAAACTGAGAACATATTTTCTAAACTTAGGAATAAGATAGGGATGCTTTTTATCTCCACTCTTAATCAATATACTGCTTGATATGTTAGCCAGAGGAATAGAGAGAAATAAAAGGGCTTCGAACAGGGAAGGAAGACGTCAAACTATTCCTGTTTGTAGATGTAGATATTTAAGATGCTATACTTAAGAAACCCTAGAGGTTTCAGCAGGAAACTCTTGGATACAATCAACACTGTTAGTAAAGCATCAGGATACAAAGTCAATACAAAAATCAGCAGCTTCCTACACACCACTAGGAAATCTGCAAAGAAAGACGCCAGTAGGAAAAAAACCCTATTCGTGGTAGCTTTAAAAAAATAATAATAAAACACCTAGTAATAAGCCTAATCAAAGAGGTGAAAGGCATCACAATGAATACTTTAAAACTGAAGAGATATGGAGCTGGGGAGATGGCTGAGTGGTTAAGAGCACTTGTTGCTCTTCAAGAGAACCAAGATTCAGTTCCCAGAACTTACATGATGGCTTACAGCCATCTGTAACTCCAGTTCCAGGGGATCCAACGCTTTCTTCTGACCCTCAAGTACACCAGGCATGCATATGGTGCACACACATATATGCAGACAAAATATTCAGACCCATGAAATAAAATAAAATTTAAAAAACTGAGGAAATAGAAGAAGACATTAGAAGATGGGAAGACATATGCATGAATTGGCAGAATTTTTATTGGCAAAAGCAGCATTAGATTCTGTGACATCTCTATCAGAACATCCTACAACCTTCTATCAGAATCTCAACTCTGTGGTGACAGAAGTAGAAAATAGTCCTAAAATTCATATGCAAGAACAGCAGTTTTGCTGGGCGGTGGCGGCACATGCCTTTAATCTCAGCACTAGGGAGGCAGAGGCAGGTTCCAGGACAGGCTCCAAAGCCATACAGAGAAACCCTGTCTCAAAAACAAAACACAAAAACAAAAACAAAAAACAAAACAAAAAAACAGAACAGCAGTTTTCCAACAGCCAGAGCAATCCTAAAATTCCAAAAGCCTAAGCAGAAAGAGTAAGTCAGAGGTATCACAATCCCTAACCTCAACTTACATTATAGAGCCACTATCACAAAATCAGCAAGATTTCAGGAGGGGGCGGGACCATACTGGTAAATCAACAAAACAGAATAGAGGACCCAGGAATCAACCCGCACAGCTACAGCACCTAATGTTTGACGAAAATGAACGATTATCCACTGCTGACGGGAATGCAAACTGGTGCGGCCACTATGGAATTTGCTATGGGGTACACACACACTTAGAACAGAGCTACCACATGACTACTAGTTTTGTCTCTCTGGAAGGATTTGAAGCAGACCACAGAGATACTTGCACACTCACGTTTACCATGGCACTGTTCACGATAGCCATGACATGGCACCTGTCCAGATGCCCATTAACAGGCGAACAGGCTAAAGAAAACATGGTGTATCGCACTATGATGACTTAGTCAGCCATAAAGAAGAATGATATTTGCAGAAAAATGGATGGAACTGAAGATCATAATTTTAAGAAAAATAATCCAGATTCAGAAAGACAAATATCACATTTTCTCTTACATGCAAAATCTAGACTTAAATATATATATATATCATGCTATATTTATTTAAATAGATAAGAATAATATCCAACTATAAGAGTGACTATAAAGAGAAAGCAGGGATCAGGAGGGAGCAATACGGGAGTTAGAAATCAAAAGTGCAGTATGTTTCCTCCAACATGTGGAGTCTATATTCAACAATAGATGCATATACATGACATAAAGCAGAAGGTGACCTTTTTCAAGGAGGGAGGACACCAGCAAGACTATATATATATATATATATATATATATATATATATATATATATATATATATATATATGCAAATGTCACAATGAAACCATTTCATTGTATGACAACTGAAATATTAATTACAAATTTAAATATATAGTAGTCGAACATTTTTGAACAATTTCACACTGACAAATCTGAAACCCTAGCCTAAATGAACAGATTTCATTACAAAAACAAAAACTCTTACCAAATGTTATACAAGAAGAAAAGGAGTTTTATCTGGTGCAAAACTGAAGTCAGTGTCAAAGTGAACTACACACTCAGACAGTTCCTACTGGCAAACTCTATCTGAAAATTTAAAAAGAAAAAAAAAATGTTGGCTAACAGCAATCGCATCTATAACTATCTGTAGGGTCTTGCCAAAGAGACACTCATACGTGAGCAGATTGATCCCACACTCCTAAGGACGGTTCAGTACTTGAGAATGCATGCCTGTAACTGGCTACCAGAAGACTGCAGATAAAACAAGTGGTCCACCATCTTAGTAACTATTAGGGGAAACATTCGATACCTATCATTCACTGAAAATTAAGATAAAACTTCTTAGAGAGTCAAAAATAGAACATTCACATATTCCACAAATTATACCCACCAGAAGATTTAAAAACTCACACAAAATACTACGGCTTTACAGGAACAAACGAAGATAAAACATCACTCAGTGCCCCCAAATAAAACCTGCAGAAAACAGATCACCCTGACAGCCGCTGGGTAGGGATGGCGGGGAACAGACCGTAGTGGAGAAGGTTGCCACAAGTTCCTCGCTGAACTAAAAATTAATTTTAACACTAGAAGCACCAGAGATGCCTGGCGGTGGTGGCGCATGCCTGTAATCCCTGCACTCTGGAGACAGGCAGGAAGAGCTCTGAGTTCAAGGCCAGCCAGGTCTACAGAGTGAGTTCCCGGACAGTCAGGGCTACACAGAGAAACCTTGTCTCAAAACAAAAACAAAAAGGCACCAGAGAGATAAACTTCATATAAGTAAAAATTCTACTAACTCTTAATTCTTTTTGGTTCTGTGTAAGTTTGGAGATCATAAAGACGTTCAGTTCATATGCCATCAGTAAGTGTGGAAAACACATCCTGAAACTGAACCAACTTCATTAAGCAGGTCAGATAAATCTGATCTATATCACTGCTAAAGGCAGAGTCCAGGAGGAAAGGAGCTATGAGCAGACAGACACTCCTGCATTCTCTTTACTTCTCAGGAACAGAGCACATCAGCTCCAAGGCCACGGGCATCGGCCTGAATTTTCACTCAATCTGAGCCGTTCTGTTTTCAACTTCAGGTTGGGATTCACCTTCACTCTCAAGCTAAGAACAGAGAAGCCAACCCTCCAGCCTGAAGAAACAGCAGCAACACATTCACATTTGAATAAACACATGTTGATTTGAAAATGGTCCAGGAATTCTATTAGGCTGTCCTCAATGGAACTGAACCTTGCCCACATCTGTCCTGTGGACACCCGACCTATTGATACACACGGGTGCTTCCTTTGCGCACTGGGTGAGTTCTAAAAATCCTTTCAAATGTCACCTACGGAGGGACAGCTTCCCACCTCATTCCATGAGGCCAGTATTACTAAATATCAAAATTGGATAAAAAGACATCCAACACAAGATTGCAAACCCATATCTCTCATAAATATATATGCAAAACTTCTAAATAAAATCTTACTGAAAAAAATCCAATAATACAATTTAAAGAATAATATATCATGATTAAATTAATCCAATGACAGAAAACTTAACCTGGGTACTGGGAGTAAGAGAACAGATGGGAACGGTTAGAGAAAGTTGTAAGGGGATTTTGAAAATGATGGATGTTTGCGATCTTGATTTTGATTAATGCATGTGCAAAAGACTTAGCAAATTGTTCACTTTAAGTGTGTGTGGTTTAGCATATATCCCAACTATACTTTTAAAAGCTCCTTTAGAAAACATTAACAAACAATAACAAAAAATAAAATAACCTCTTTGAATGCATCCGCTGGCTCTTAGAAACGCCTGACGTCTAGGATAGGGCTGGAACTTGTTCGGGAAGACTCGGGCTGCGTGGAGGCAATGGGAGAGTAGGGGCTGAGCGAGGGCAGCGGGAAACAGCCGACAGGTACTAGACAAGCAGCAGGAACAAGCCTGGGGGGGACACCAGGCGGCCCACGCCGAGGGCACGTTCCTGGAGGGCAGGATGCCCCGCAGCCCAGTGAACCTTCGCGCACAACCAAGCTCGGTGTGCACGTGGGAGCGAAAACGCACGGAGACCGAGAGCGGGCATGGTGGGTTGCTCCAGCTCTGCGAGCCCCCGGGCAGCAGAAGCCGGGCCAGGCAGGACACCAAGGTGCGGAGGGCGGGACAGCGCGACCCGGCTCCTCCCTCGGCTGAGCCGGCCCGGGACTTCGACCCGCCTCTCCCGCACCCTCGCCGGCACCGCACAGCCCCGCAGCGATGCCAGGGCGGCCTGCGGCAGAGTGTGTGTCCGCGGTGGCGCCGCTTCGTTCCCCGGACCGTGCTGAACCTAAACCACAACCCGAGGTGGGAAGGCTGAATGGCGGGACCGCACGACATCCCGCAGCTCTCCGTGCTGCCTCGGTTGCTAGGCCCGAAGACGCCAGCGGGCTGAGGCGGGCGTGCCGTGGGGGCGGCGCCTGACGTGAGTGACGCCCCGGGAAGCCGAGGAGGAGGCGGGCGGGACGAAGGGGGCGGAGCCCGAGGTGGGTGGAGCCTGGGGAAGCCAAAGTCCTGAGGCGGGCGGGCGCAGGAGGAACCTGAGATGGGTGGAGCCTGGGGAAGCCGAGGCGGAGGCGAGCGGGACGAAGGGGCGGGGCTTGAGGTAGGTGGAGCCTGGGGCAGCCAAATTCTGAGGCGGGCGGGCCCAGGAGGAGGAGCCTGAGGTGGGTGGAGCCTGGAGCAACCAGAGGTCTGAAGAGGGCGGAACCCCGGTGGGTGGGGCCAAGAGTAGGCGGAGCCCGGAGCCCGAGCGTAGTGGAGGAGGTCGGGACTGCGGGCCGACGCCCACCTTACGGGGGCGGGGCCTGCGTCCCCTTTCCCAGTGTGCGCTGCGCCGCTGGGTCTCCCGCGCGCTTTTTTTTTTTTGTAACCTGTCCCGCTGCAGCCGAGTAAGTGGACGCTTACGAAGTTGGGTGTGACCTTTTCTCAGCCCCCTCATAGTTAGATGCTTGAACTCCCTCAGAAAAGCCGAGATTTTTTTTTCTCACTGCTCCGTAGAAGGAAATTGTGTGTTGAAAATTGCCCAGGTCGGAGAAGAACAGGTTGGAGGGACTAATGCACAGAAACGCGCAGAAAGAAACTGCAGGCAAATCGGGGTGGGTCGCCTCGGGCCTGTCCCTGCCTGGCGTTGCAGAGGGTGCTGCTGACCTCAGTCAGTCTACGCAGTGCCCATTCTAGCAGCAGACTCCAGAAAACCGTTTTCTGAAAAACTGGGACACACCCAAGCGCTCTCCCGAAGCTGCACACTACAGACAGAGACGTGAATTCTGGGTGCATCGTTACTGTGGAATTGTTCTGGAAGCAAAAGTGATAATAGTCAAAGAAGTTTCCGCTCCCGGGAGAGAATATGACACTGGGTGCGAAGTTGACTTAAGTTTGCCTTCGAAAAGAAAACGCCTGTGAGAAAAAAAAGTTTATGAGGATTCTTCTTATTTGAGAACATTCAAGTATCTGTTGGATGTTTTGAGGGAAAGCTAAGCTACGTTTCTGCTTCTGACCCTTCCATTTACAGCTTTAGTACCTCCGGCAAGTTCTCTAACATTTCCATGCCTCAGTTTCTTTACAAAAACTCAAAAAAGTATGAATAGAATAGACCTTTTCATGAATACTGGCTACTTGAGGTGGGTGGGTGGGCGCATTGTTGGGAGTTAGGTAGTTTGGCGCGTTCCCAAACAATTGCTTTTTCTAACGTCCTCTCAGTAACTGAGAAGAGCTTAGTTCATTAAGGCCAATAACTCAGAAAGCCTGAAGAACACTGACTTGAGTCGATTGATAGGATAGTGAATGGAAACTTTCCCCATTTTTCGTATTCCTCAGTACATTCCAGAGGAATCCAAAGACAGAATTATCTCAGGTGAAGATGTACTCGGAATGTTACTGAAGGCTTCACAGTCTCTAGTTTTTTTTCTCATAATTTTTTTATTGATTCTTTGGGAATTTCATTTCATGCATCCCAATCCCATTCATTTCCCAATCCTTCCATGTCTACCCTCCACCCCTGTAGCCTTCCCCACCCTAATCAAATTCAAAATAAAATAAAAACAGTTTGCTCCCCCGTCTTTCCCACCTCTCCATCATACATTTTTTTTGTCGCAGTGGCCTTGGGAGCTGAGGTGTGTCACACAGCATACCCTTTGCCCAAACAGCTTTGCTTGCAAATGTTCACGGCAGTGAGTTGAACCAAGAGGTCTGGTTCAAAGCCAGTACACCATCAATACTGGACCCTCATTGAAACGTCTCTCAGATATCCTGTTGTTGCCCCAAGTCATGGAGATCCTGCAGCTATGGTTCGGCAGGACCAATCCCTTCATGCACTCTAGCAGGTCATAGATGGGGTAGATGTTAGGGTGGGCCAACTCAAAAGCCCTGGATGTGGGCATGGGTGATAATAGCTGGGTTGGTCATCCAGGCCTCCACCGAAAGTCATGTGGATGCCTGGGGTCAGGGCCATACATCTGAAGCCACTTTGGTGCCGGAGGACTATTTTGCCACCAGGGCCATACAAATCTGAGTGGTTTGCACTGCCATCCGGGGTCATGCTGACTTCTGGGCCCAAGCTGCCGCTGAGGGTCCATGGCCCTACTGCAGATGGGGGTCTGTGTTGAGGTCCGTGGCCCATGATACCACCAAAGGCCGTGCTGATGCCCGCAGTCTGCACCCACCTGAGGCCATGTTGATGTCCAAGGACCATGCTGCTGCTGGGGCCATACTAGTCCGAGTGGCCTGTACTACCACCGGAGGCCATGGTTACATCTGGGCAGGCTCTATTTTGAAATGACTGTAGTAAACAGATCTCTTGACTGTGCTTCCAGAACCTGTTGAGTCAAAATATCAACACCTACTGGCCGTTCAGCATCAAAGGGTGAAACCGTTTAGAGATAGAGACCACCAACAAAGCATCTTCAAATCAGAAGACATGCTTTTTAAGACCTTGGGTTTCATTCAGTGTTGCTTGAGCAGCTCACGGATTTCTGTAGGAAGAGGTGTCTTGCCACTAAAGCCCTGGTACCAAAAGGGGGCAGTTGTGTCTGTGTATTCCAGTAACACCTCAGTTAGTACTGCCATAAATTCCTTCTATATTGATAAAGTTCAACAAAACGCTTAGCCTTGTAATCAGAGCAAAGGTCGGAATTTGCAACCCAAGTTCGCATACTTTTTAAAATTATCATTTCATGATTAACCTTATGAATAATGTTGTGTGTTGAAGAGTATATTATAATGTTTGATGGGATAATTGCATTTTTAGGGCAATCTTTTTGGTCACAAGACTCTCTCAATATTAATTTTCTCCTTTCCTTCTTTGCCAATAAAAGAGAAAAAAAACAGCCTGAAGGTCGATTCATCTATCCCTATGGAAGTCTACATTATACATTAACAAAATGCACTTTTAAAAATACTCTCCAGTGGATATCAAATCATAGTCTAAATAAATATGTGTGTGCATATATATGTGTATAAAACTTTGTAAAACTGAGCCTAAAATATGCTGTTCATATTATCATTAAGTAAGAAAATTAGATTCTGTCTGCTATATGGACAGGTGGTTCTGTGCTTCATGAGCTGTTAGGAGCAAACTCTGTAAAGGGAAAAGTCCCTCAAAAACATGATGTTCTAAACTGGAAATTAACTGCTTAAAAAGATGGGCTGGGCAGCGGTGGTGCACGCCTTTAATCCCAGCACTGAGGAGGCAGAGCCAGGCGGATCTCTGTGAGTTTGATGCCAGCCTGGTCTACAGAGCAAGATCTAGGACAGGCACCAAAACTACACAGAGAAACCCTGTCTTGGAAAACCAAGAAAAAAAAAAAGATGGAAGAACATATATATAAAAGTGTCATAATAACCCGTTATTTTATGCAATTAATATACACTAATGAGTTATTTTTAAAGATGGAGGGATTAAAACAGACTCTTCTATTTTAGGTTCATAATTAAAAATGTCCTTATAATATCTTAGTTTTACATGTTGCGTTGTCTCTGCCTTGTTGTAGAGTAGGTACAGTAAATAGAAGTATGAACCATTCTTTTCCCAGTCCATTGGAAATCCACTTGTTTTTAGATGCTTGGATGGCATATTCATTGATGGAAATGACCAAGTAATACCATGAATTATATTCAAGTAATTAATATCCATATCTGAATTCATTATCAGATGTAGAGGCGCATTTGTCCTAAGGATTATGGCATAACCATTTATACTTTAAATAAAAATCCATTTAGATGGCTGCTGTGTGGCAATGTAGCTGCTTGATTGGTAGACAGAAACTTTTTGGAAAGAAATCGCACTTGCAGGGTTCATTTTGTGCTTTTGGATTCCACTTTAATACACAGAACACTCTTAGCTCATGTTTTCAACTCTGGGAGTTCAGCGCTGGGAGAGACCGACTTAGCCTTTAAGAATGAGTGATGGTACAGGGTTAACATTCAGAAATTCACAATCCACTGACTAGAGGACAGTATGTCAATGATTGTTCAGACAGTAAGCTGGCATGATGAGGCTTTTGACAGGAGGTACAACAATGGCTAATTCTTCTTCACCATGTGACTGAGTACAAAGGCAATTGAATAACAGTACTTAAGCTGCTGTAACTTTGAGAAGAGATGACTTTTGATCATTAGTGTTTTAGAGTTGTTAAATGATTCCAGAGTATTTTATTGGTGTTGTAGCATAACCTAACGAACTCAACACTAGACTAGTATACCCTTTCTGCTGATAAGTTTGGGAGTCGTCCGTTTATTGGCTTGACTTTCCCACAAGTAAAACCCTGACCCTCTGGAAATAGGCCTGGCTCCTTCATTTAACCAAATGACTGTCTGGCACCCTTAGTTCCTGATATTTCAAAAGTAAACTATCAAGTTGAGCATGATGGTGCGTGGTTATTATTCTATCACTGGAAATAATCACTGAAGCAGGAGGGCCACGAGTTCAAGGTTAACATGGGCTGCGTAAGAAGACCCTGTCTCAAACAAACAAGGGAAAACATCTGTGTTTATTACATAGGTTTATGTATAATCTAAACACATGTACTACTTTAAATTTTTACTTTCCTCCATATTAGTAATATTCTGAGTGTGTTCCATTCGTTAAGCATCATAATTCAATAGTGTTTTTTACTCTCACCCTGTGTTGTGACTTTTTCTCCAAAATGATGCGCCTCTTCCTAGACAGAGCCGCTAATGTGTTATTAGGAATTTGATATGTCTGCAGTTTGCCCTGTAAAACTGAAGCAAATCTCCCAAACATGCCTACAGCTGCGACAAAGTCAGTCTTTACAATCAGCGTGTTCTGTCTTCTATGTTAGACTACATTTGAAAACTAAGATTTCTAAGAAAGATCTTTATAGAATTAGGAGCAAGTTTTTCTTTTTAGTAAAAATTGATGGACAGGGAGGTGGGTCAGTGGCAGAGCACTTGCTTGGTATGTTCAAGACCCTGGGCTTTGTTGTTGCTTTTTTTGTTTTTGTTTGTTTTTTTCAAGACAGGGTTTTCCCACGTAGTCCTGGCTATCCTGGAACTCGCTTTGTAGACGAGGCTGTCCTTGAACTCAGAGATCTGCCCACCTCTGCCTCCTGAGTGCTAGGACTAAAATAGTGCGCTACCACCACCCAGACTGTTAAATAATTGATTCCCAGGATTGTTAAAGTAAAAATCCATAAGGAACATAACACCATATTTCTTTAATATAGGTTTATCTGAAAATAAAGACTTTTGCTTTCTAAGATCATTCTGCTTATTAGGAACCATTTTTCCATGTGGACAATATTTGTCAATAAGTGATTCTATTATTTTTTTTCCTTTCCACAAAATCTTCAGGTAATTGTTTGTTATACTGTGGTTGTTTTTGAAAGAGGGCCTTACTTTGTAGCCCAGGCTGGCCTTGAGATCTCCCTGTCTTCCCCTCCTGAGTGCTAGAACTACATACTACTCAGCTCAGAAGACATATACTTTATATCATTTCACTGAGTTGCTAAAGAACTTTATGGGGGTGGTACACCTATTAAAATACCCTTTTAAGGTGAATATTTTAAAACCTGGATTGTTGGGGTTAGAGAAATGGCTGAGCAGTTAAGAGCACTTGTTACTCTTACAGAGGACCTGGTATGGTGCATGTCTGTAGTCCTAGCACTTATAAAGTAGAGGTCGGAAGATAAGGAGTTCAAGATCACCCTCAGCTGCATAGACATTCAAGACCAGTCAGGGCTATATGATAACACTGTCTCAGAAAAATCCAAATACCAACAATACTAAATTCATTATCTTTGGGTCCTGAATGTGTCTGCGTGCTTAACAATGAAGTGTTCTGATCGTATGCTCTCCACAGTGATACCATGAGAATTATATATTATATATAATAATGGTGTCTTGTGTCTAGAAAAATGGTGTTTTTAAACATCCCAATTAATTTTAAATGTTTGTCTTTTGAAATATGATCCACATATTAATAAATGTTAAGCTATAATCTGTTTAAAATAATTAAAAATCCTTTTTGTTTTTTGTGATTCCAGTTTTGGGAACCATAGAGATGTTTTCAAAGGTGTGGTGGGTGGTCTAAACTGACTGAGTTGTTGTGGTCTTTGAAAAGGTTCTATGATAGACCCCCTCTAGAATACCTCCTTGAGGGAAAGGAGCTGTTTCCTCACGGAACTGAGGAGCTGTACCACCGTTTAGGAATCTGCACAGAGGCGGCGGCACATCGATAAACTCCACGCTGGTTACAAATGCCAGCTGGTACTTGAACACTTCCCTTTGCCCTTTTCGTTTTCAGTCCATTTCAATGTGGTGTTCTTGTTGCACTTAGGGACATCAAGCAAGGACAGGAGCTTTTGTCAAACTACGGCATGGTTATCAGCTAACTTGATGAATTAAAAATTAGGTTTTCTAAGTAGCTATTGTGTTCATTCTAAATGCTTGGTTGGTTGTTTGCTAATCACTTCTGTGAGTTCCACCTGCAGAGAAAAAGCTTTTAGACTTAACTGGACTTTTTGTATTTGTTGTTATATTTATGCCCCAATTTCAAGGTATAAGCTACTTGCTTCATAATTTCAAATTTATGATACAATTGCAATTTCTAATCGGTTTTCATAATAGTTTATTAAACAGGGTTTCTCTGTGTAGCTTTGGAGCCTATCCTAGAACTCACTCTGTAGCCCAGGCTGGCCTCAAACTCACAGAGATCCGCCTGCCTCTGCCTCCCGAGTGCTGGGATTAAAGGTGTGCGCCACCACCGCCCGGCCGCATTAGCGATTCTTAAGGTTTGGGCTGATTGGCAGTTATGTGTCACCCAGTGCATTTGACATGGGTGGAAGGAACCAAACTAGTCCCCGGAAGAGCAGGAAAATGCTCTTCACTACTGAGCTCTATCTCCAGCCCCAGTAATTCTTACAGTACTGTTGGTGTGTACAGGCCTCTGTTGCCATGAGTAAATCAATGTCCGTGTATAGTTTGTAAACTGTTCATGGGGTCGTCCTCCTCCTTCCTCTATCTACATCAAGGGTGGGGGGGTGATAAAAAGGAGTGTAAGAGCTTCTTTTAATGTAGAAATACCGTTAAGAGACAAGGTTGGTGGCAGGATGCCTAGTCCTATCTCCTGTTTCTGTGGAGAAGGCTTCCGTTGGTAATGCTCCGAATCTTCCTGTGCCCACTGGAGACAAGTGACTTTAGTGAGTGAGGCACCTGTGGCTCACACCCTCCAGTTCTCTGTGGACTCTGTGCAGACACCAGTCCAGGTGTTGACAAATGACCGCACTTAGAGGTGAAGTACTATACTGTCAAGCCAGCCCAGCCGCACTCAGTCCTGAAGACCTCTGTGCCAGATTTACTTTTTTTTTTTTTTTTTTTGGTTTTTTTTTTTCGAGACAGGGTTTCTTTGTGTAGCTTTGCGCCTTTCCTGGAACTCGCTTTGGAGACCAGGCTGGCCTCGAACTCACAAGAGATCCGCCTACCTCTGCCTCCCGAGTGCTGGGATTAAAGGCGTGTGCCACCGCCCTGCGCCAGTTTTACTCTTAATGGTTTCTTTGACTCCTGCTTCATCTCACTTCCCAGCTTGGCTAGGATGACATCATTTGCCTAGTCCCTCCCCCCTGAGGGAAACCGTAGGCTCAGATATTGACCACTGTCACAGCTACGTCGTTACTAACTTGGTTTGCCTGTTTACTGCAATTTTAGTAGCTTCCTAATTGACTTATCTCTTTCCACTCTTGCCCCTTACAGACTGTATCTCCAAGGGGCTGGTTTTTCGAGATAGTTTCTCCGTGTATGTAATTTACAAATCGTTCCAACTGGATATAGGTCATCATCCTCTGACCTCTATTCACTGAACATTTCTACACCGGGGGTGATAAAAAGGAGAGCTAGAAATTGTTTTGGTGTGGGAATACTATTAAAGACAAGGTTGGTGGCAGGGACACATGTTCCTGTTTTTTATTTCTGTGGAGAGGGTGTCCTGCATGTATTGGAACTAGGTCTGTAGACTTGGCTAACCTCAAAACTCAGAGATCTCTCTGCCTCTGCCTCTGCAGTACCGGGATTAAAAGTGTGTGCCAACACACCCAGCAGCCAAAGGTATTTTAACTTCTTGACACATGCTTACTTAAAACCCTGGAGAAAATAAGGACTACTTCACATAGGTGATCTGGCTGTGACTTCAGATCACCATTGCTCACTCAAGGCACACCCCTGCAGCCACCTCTTGACTGTGCCTCAGTTTCTCTACCTGCAGAGACCTCGCCCCAGATCACCTAGGAGCCTGTCCTCTCACTGAGGCTTGACTAATGAACCTTTAACCCCTTCCCGCATCTGACAGCCCTAATCTATGTCCCCCTTTTCTCTACAGCATGAAGACTCACGTTTATGTTACAGTCCAACTAGGAATGAATACAGGAAGTCAGGAAGTCATTTGGGCCATCAAGTCCCTAGAAGTCACTAGAGATTTTTCTGCTTCCACAGGCTTCTCCCTTCCCCCAAAGCCTGAAGTACCGTGCAGCTCTCCCATGGTACTTAGCTGTATTTAGAATACTCATGGAGCTACTTTAACACAGATCTGTCATGGGAAGGCACTGTGGTGTTTGGAATGGAGGGGTGTGGTTTTTCTAGACAAGCAATGAAAACGAAAGGGTTAATGGCTTTCCTCTTTTTACCTTGCTCTGTGTAAACTCTGGATATCATGTACAGTTTGGAACTATTAAAATATTGGAACTGAGAATGCTGGGATCTTTGGCTTGAAAAGATGAAGGCTTGGGAAAGCTATGACCAGAGGCAATTGGATTATGAAAATTATAAATAAGAGTAATATCACAAATACCAGCCCATTAAATCGTGATGTCTCATCGTATTTCAGTTCTGTCTTCCCAAAACACAGTTGGCTAGGACTGCTTGAACAGATATCCAGTAAATGCCTGCTTAACTAAATGAAAATCCTTACTTCAAGAATTTTTAGAATTATTATAGATCAAAAACTAGTAGAGAGGATTTAAGAAAACTATTTTGTCTCTCAAGCTGAATTAGCTACATATCTGAGTATAGCTTAAGATTGGCTTTAAATTTTTTGGTAAATAGTCACACAAACCAGGAAAAACAGATTTCCAGATTTTTATTTCTGGAACTGTACACCAGGTATTAAAGTACAACAAATACAAAATAATGCTCAAAAAATCAGTGTTTATGTACAAATATTAAAATCAATGCAACAATAGCAACTTCCTCTTGAACATTGGATACTAAAACTTGTTCTGATTGTCACTAATTTATCTCATACTCACAGGGTACTTATTTCAAACTGGGACAATTGGAATCACTGGTCATCTAAGAGGAATATTAATATCTACCATATTTAACAATAAAACTAATAGTTTCCCTCCTTTTAGTGAAAAAATTAGGAACTTTTTAAAAAACATAGTAATGTCAATATTTTATAAATTATTTCAATTTCCATTCGTAGACAATGTGCTTTGAAACTCTGGGCAAACAATCTCCTTGGTGGTTGGGTTTGTTAGTTTACATTCAAAGTTGAAATATTTACTAGACTTTGGTTAAATTAAATAGTACTACTACTCTATTAGGTCTGATGTTCTCAAATATTTATGACCTTCAATTTTAAAAATTAAAAAGGAAACGATTGCACAATTCTTTGACCTAATTGTACAGACTTTAGTATTTTTTAAACAGTATTCTACATCCTTCAAGTAAATTCAGCAGTTGACCGGGACAAGAGGAAAACTAAACATTTAGAAAGCTAGCATGAGCGAGGCGAAGCACAACTAACAAAAGTA